TCTCACACTCTCTCTCTCTCTCACTCTCTCTCTCTCTCTCACACTCTCTCTCTCTCTCTCACACTCTCTCTCTCTCTCACACTCTCTCTCTCTCTCACACTCTCTCTCTCTCTCTCACTCACTCTCTCTCTCTCACACTCTCTCTCTCTCTCACACTCTCTCTCTCTCTCTCTCACACACTCTCTCTCTCTCTCACACTCACTCTCTCTCTCTCACACTCACTCTCTCTCTCTCACACCCACTCTCTCTCTCTCACACTCTCTCTCTCTCTCTCACACTCTCTCTCTCTCACACTCACTCTCTCTCTCTCACACTCACACTCTCTCTCTCTCACACTCACACTCTCTCTCTCACACTCACACTCACACTCTCTCTCTCACACTCACACTCACACTCTCTCTCTCACACTCACACTCACTCTTTCACACTCACACTCACTCTCTCACACTCACACTCACTCTCTCACTCTCACTCTCTCTCACTCCGCCTCCTCCCCGTGCCACTACTTTCCGCTTGCCCAGTCTCGTGCTGCACTGGGCCCTCGCCGCGGGCGGCAAGAGCCTTTCTCTCGCCATGCAGGTGGGCGGCACGGCGGCTGGCGGGTGGGTGGCGGTGGCGTGGTCGCCGGACGGCAGCATGACCGGCTCCGACGCCGTGATTGGCGGGCTGCCGGGCGGCGCGGTGAAGGCGTATGCCATAAGCGGGTACAGCGAGGCGGACGTGCGCCCCACCACCCGATTCTCCATCGGCTCCGCCTCCTCCGCCAATGGTGGCTCTCTTATCAAGTACGCGGCTCGTCGAGTATACTACGACGCGAGTCTCTTACTGGCATAGTCCCATGGCGTAATTATTGGCCCGTGATGTGCCGCCCGCTTACCACAGCAGTCGCGTTGCCATCACCGCGAGCTGGTACCAACGGTTTCATATCTTAGGATCGTAAACGCCTTAGTCGGCAATAGTCTACTTGCTATTGCTTATCGTGTTCTCCACGATCTCACGAATCCAATGATATGCGCAGCTCTGCTTGAAGTTGTCAATACACACTTCAGCAATTTTCAGAATCTGATTGGTTTCAATGTTGTCCAATGTTGTGATTTCCAGAATGAGTACAAGCAGTTTTATGGTCATGCAAGACACAAAATGCGATTCGTAACTTCACTTGTTTCCCAAGTAACCGCGTGCGCCTCGTTTCACCCCGAGTCGCACACGGAACCGAACCGAATTCGCCGAACACTCCTCGAGTCCGAATCAAGCACCTTCTCGAACACGCCTCAGTCTCGAACCACAATTTCCCCTTGTCAACTCCAATCTCGATACTTCTTCACTCTTCTTCCTCCATTTCTCTAGTTTCTTCCCAATTTCTCTCTTGCTTCTCACGCCGTAGCTTCCATTCTCCACCGTAGGCCGATTTCCACCGTTTCACCTAGAATCATCCACGTGCTTCCATTTCGCCGTCATTCCGCCGTCGTAGAAGCTTTCGCCGTAGGTTCCGTGGTTGGGCGAACCAACCCTAACATCATAAAGTCGCACGGCGCATGATTCCACCGCGCATATGCATTTCCATCAGTCGGAGTCCGACTGATCTCACTGTGGTGTTAAGTTCTGTCCTTCTCGTTGCGCCGGTCTGTTCTTTCCCGCTGGCTCCAACCACAGGTTCTCTCGGTCGTCTGGCGACGGCGCAGTGCCGGTGAGCATGGCGGGGAGCAACAGCATCATCTGGGCCTTCTCCAGCGATCAGTCGCCAGCCCTCGCCAACCATGGCGGCAACTAGTGCGTCCCTCGTACCCCTCTCTCCCTCGTCCTAATACCCTCTGCTGCCCACTTTCTTGCCGCGTCACGACTCTCACCTCTGCTACGCGTATCTGTGCCACGTCTATATCTATCGACTACCAGTGGAGCTATTGTCTTGTGCTGGCGTCAGCTTCTGCCGAGATCCAGTCCCCTCCCTTCCCACAAGGCGGCGCAGACTGAACAAACTATCTGTGTGTGTCCCCCATGCGTCCCTCGTGCCGTCCTGTGATGATGCCATTTCAGTGGCCAGGCAAGTGTGGACTTTAGCTGCACAGGTTCAACTGGGGGCGGCACGGGCGGCGGTACAGGGGGCGGCACAGGCGGCGGCACTGGTGGCGGCACTGGCGGCGGGACTGGGGGCGGGACCGAGGGCGGGACTGGCGGTGGTGATGGGGGTGGAAATGGAGGAGGCAATGGCGGAGGCGACTATGGGGGGGACTACGGTAACGGTGGTGATTATAACGATGGCGGTGATTTCGGTAATGGTGATGGCAACGGAGGTGGCTATAACGATGATGGTGATTACGGGGGTGGAGACGGCAATGGGGATGGCAGCGATGGTGATGGTGATTACGATGGAGATGACAGTACTGGGGGTGGTGATGACTATAGTGGGGATAACAGCAACGGTGATTATAACGAAGGAGACTACAGTGGAGATTACAGTGCAGGGGATTACACGGACTATGGCACAGCTGGTTCTGGTGGTAGTGCTGCCATGTCACAAAAAAAGATGGCGGAGTTGTGGGGCCGATTCAAGCAATGGTTGAGATCATCTGGCAACGGGTTGAAGCAGACTCGCATGGGGACCAGAAAGCATGGAGTCAGGGCTAAAGGGAGCGTGCAAACTGCCCTGACAGGGCACATGGGCACACGTGTGCGGCAGGCAAGAAATGCCCAGAGACAGAGAGCCAACGGGGCCCAGGGGATCAATGCAGTCAACAGGGGTAATGGGAGGGGCGCTGCTGGGTTGAAGGCGGTGGAGAAGGCACATGCGGAACACAACGTGCAGGTGCCGCGCAGGCCAACTGTTGGCAGGCGGACGCGAAGTAATACTGGGGGAGGTGCTTCACCGGCGGTTGCAGGGAGAACTCCTTGAGGGTGGAGCTATAGTTGATTAAGAGGAAGGGTGTCACTTGTCGTTTGGACAGAGGCAATTCAAGCTGGATGGATGGAGGAGCACCACACCAGTAGATCGTTTTCCATTTGTAATGATTGAACTTATGATCTGGGTGGTTAGTCGTAGGTTGAAGTCAGTACTAGTAGTATGCTGGCAGGGATGTAATATCGCGTATAGACAAATTGGTGGTAAATCTAACTCCAGGTTAGTTCGAGTGTACACTAATTCTATTACTACCTGACACCACCAACAGGCCCTCCCACCTGTCGTCCTCACGAAACAGCATCCCATCGCACGGCGACGTGCATCGATTAAAATCTACTGCCGCGCGTCCGCCGCTCATTCCGCATCTTGCGAGGCATAGCACGCAGACACCTTGCGACGTTCATGCGCTGCTGCCTCCTCGCTCTTCCCTGCCCCCGTTTCCCCGCGATCCTCAACCTTCGTCGTGGGTCGTAACGTAATTGATCGAATAGCACCACCATGAGCGCCCACGCGCTTCATTTCCGCCCCGCGCGCCCTCTAATTCCCTCCCCCGGCCGCGCCGCGCCGTGTGATCGCGCAAGGCCGCAACGGCTCAACGCGTTTCGATGTCGACCGTTATGGCCGGCGCCTCGTTCCCAGGCTTCTTCCCTCTCGCCCACGCTCCGTGGCCCTCCAATCCCTTCTGTCCTCGCGCCGTCGCATCCGATAGCTAGACCATCCATTGCTCATTCGGGCAACACTCGCAGAAGAATTTCAAGCAAGATCGAGTCTGTTACCGCAGCGGCTGTACAGCAGCGGAAGATGGAGCGCGTTTCACGGCGACTGATAGGGCCCCTGGCGGCGGGAATCGAGGCGGCATGCTGCCGGGGTGACGCGGCTGGGCGGAGAGGCGGTAGAACCGAGGCAGGCGCGCAGAGGGGAAGAGCGATCCGCGCACGGGCGGGTGGTGCAGGGGAGCCGTGGTCGGGGGAAGGAGAGCAGCGACGGGAGGTCGGGGACGCGGAGGGCTGCGTTGCAGAGCTGCGCGGGGAGGCGGACACTGAAGGGAGTTCCGCCATGGGCGGAGCAATGAGCGCGGGGAGGGGCAGCGGCGAGTGGGACGTGGAGCACGCGGAGGACCGTCCCGTGCTGTGCTTCCCTGGCGGGTACGGCTGCATGGGGGTGGGGCATGGATGGAGCGGTGTGGGGGAAGGAACGCGCAGTGTGGGGCTGTGTAGTGTGGGGGGAGTGGCTTATGAGATAGCCCATCTCCAAGGCCTTGGAGATGGGGGTGTGCTGTGTGCATTATGGGGTGGTGTGCAGTGCGGGGAGTGTCATGTAATGTGCCTGCTTGGTGCGACCGTTGGCAGCCTGCCATGCCATGAGCCACCACTCTCCTGCCTGCCCCTCCCTGCCTGCACCACAACTGACAAGGGCGAACCATGTAACCACGCTCGCGGCTCACCCAATCTCCCCCACTCCCCCAGCATCATCGCCCCTCCCTTTCCCCCGTGCTTCTATCACGTTGTGACGGCAGCGGGATGTTCTTCTACTGGCAGATGGGGGCGGCGGCGGTGGTATCACGGCACGGCGCGGTGGACAGTGCACGGCTGGTGGGGGCGAGTGCGGGCGCGCTGGCAGCCACGCTCACAGCGTGCGGGGTGGACGCCACCGCTGCTGCGCGCGCCGCCTTCGACCTCTCCCTTGCCAACGGAGTCTGGGATCGCCCTGCAGGTGGGGCCAGTGGCGGGTGGCACGAGTGGCGGGTGGGACGAGTGGCGGGTGGGACGAGTGGCGGGTGGGGCGAGTGGCGGGTGGGGCGAGTGGCGGGTGGGGCGAGTGGCGGTTGGGGCGAGTGGCGGGTGGGACGAGTGGCGGGTGGCGGGGGCGAGTGGCGGGTGGGGCGAGTGGCGGGTGGGACGAGTGGCGGGTGGGACGAGTGGCGGGTGGGACGAGTGGCGGGTGGGGCGAGTGGCGGGTGGGACGAGTGGCGGGTGGGACGAGTGGCGGGTGGGACGAGTGGCGGGTGGGGCGAGTGGCGGGTGGGACGAGTGGCGGGTGGGACGAGTGGCGGGTGGGGCGAGTGGCGGGTGGGATGAGTGGCGGGTGGGGCGAGTGGCGGGTGGGACGAGTGGCGGGTGGGACGAGTGGCGGGTGGGATGAGTGGCGGGTGGGACGAGTGGCGGGTGGGGCGAGTGGCGGGTGGGGCGAGTGGCGGGTGGGGCGAGTGGCGGGTGGGGCGAGTGGCGGGTGGGGCGAGTGGCGGGTGGGACGAGTGGCGGGTGGGGCGAGTGGCGGGTGGGGCGAGTGGCGGGTGGGGCGAGTGGCGGGTGGGACGAGTGGCGGGTGGGACGAGTGGCGGGTGGGACGAGTGGAGGGTGGGGCGAGTGGAGGGTGGGACGAGTGGCGGGTGGGGCGAGTGGAGGGTGGGACGAGTGGCGGGTGGGGCGAGTGGAGGGTGGGACGAGTGGCGGGTGGGGCGAGTGGAGGGTGGGTGGGACGAGTGGCGGGTGGGGCGAGTGGAGGGTGGGACGAGTGGCGGGTGGGGCGAGTGGCGGGTGGGACGAGTGGCGGGTGGGGCGAGTGGCGGGTGGGACGAGTGGCGGGTGGGACGAGTGGCGGGTGGGGCGAGTGGCGGGTGGGACGAGTGGCGGGTGGGACGAGTGGCGGGTGGGGCGAGTGGCGGGTGGGACGAGTGGCGGGTGGGGCGAGTGGCGGGTGGGGCGAGTGGCGGGTGGGGCGAGTGGCGGGTGGGACGAGTGGCGGGTGGGACGAGTGGCGGGTGGGGCGAGTGGCGGGTGGGACGAGTGGCGGGTGGGGCGAGTGGCGGGTGGGACGAGTGGCGGGTGGGGCGAGTGGCGGGTGGGACGAGTGGCGGGTGGGACGAGTGGCGGGTGGGGCGAGTGGCGGGTGGGATGAGTGGCGGGTGGGGCGAGTGGCGGGTGGGACGAGTGGCGGGTGGGACGAGTGGCGGGTGGGACGAGTGGCGGGTGGGGCGAGTGGCGGGTGGGGCGAGTGGCGGGTGGGGCGAGTGGCGGGTGGGGCGAGTGGCGGGTGGGGCGAGTGGCGGGTGGGGCGAGTGGCGGGTGGGACGAGTGGCGGGTGGGACGAGTGGCGGGTGGGGCGAGTGGCGGGTGGGGCGAGTGGCGGGTGGGGCGAGTGGCGGGTGGGACGAGTGGCGGGTGGGACGAGTGGCGGGTGGGACGAGTGGAGGGTGGGGCGAGTGGAGGGTGGGACGAGTGGCGGGTGGGGCGAGTGGAGGGTGGGACGAGTGGCGGGTGGGGCGAGTGGAGGGTGGGACGAGTGGCGGGTGGGGCGAGTGGAGGGTGGGACGAGTGGCGGGTGGGGCGAGTGGAGGGTGGGACGAGTGGCGGGTGGGGCGAGTGGCGGGTGGGACGAGTGGCGGGTGGGGCGAGTGGCGGGTGGGACGAGTGGCGGGTGGGACGAGTGGCGGGTGGGGCGAGTGGCGGGTGGGACGAGTGGCGGGTGGGACGAGTGGCGGGTGGGGCGAGTGGCGGGTGGGACGAGTGGCGGGTGGGGCGAGTGGAGGGTGGGACGAGTGGAGGGTGGGGCGAGTGGAGGGTGGGACGAGTGGCGGGTGGGGCGAGTGGAGGGTGGGGCGAGTGGAGGGTGGGGCGAGTGGAGGGTGGGACGAGTGGCGGGTGGGGCGAGTGGCAGGTTGGCCCTCCCATGGCGGGTGTAGGCCCTCCTATGGTTCTCCCCCTGTCCTTGCTCTGCCATCTCCTTTGCCTCTGCGCGACCTGCTCCATCCTCCTGCTCTGCTCCGCTCCATTCCCCCCTCCCTGCACCTGTCCCGTGTGTGCTGCAGGGCTGGCAGGAGTGTGGGGGCGGCTGGTGGGCGAGTGGCTGGACCTCATGCTCCCTGCGGATGCTCACACGCGCTGCACTCACCGCCTCTCCCTCCACATAGTCACACTGCCCTCCATTCGCCATCGGTACTACCCACCGCCATCCCTGCATACTCCTTTCTGTACGAAACGCATCATTGCAACCACTCTCCCAGCCGCTCTCCCAGTCACCGCCTTCATCCTGCTGCATTCACCGCCTCTTTAACTCCCCGCCTCCTTCCCTCCATCCCCCCGTCTCCCCATCGCCTCTCATCTCCACTCCACCCCTGCTTTCCTCCTCGCGGCCTCGCCTCCTCCCACGGATCCTCACAAGTAACTCACCCTCTCTCCCCTCCCCCACTCTCCCCCGCATGTGCAGCGCGCCGTGGTTCCAGAGGCAGGTGGTGTCGCAGTTCGCATCGCGCGCGGACCTGATAGCGTGCTGCCTGGCATCCGTGCACATCCCCTTCTTCATGGACGGCCGCCCCTGGACGCTCTACCGCGGCCGCCGATGCGTTGATGGATCCATTCTTGCCATGCCGTACGTGCCATGTCATGCTGCTGCCTGCGATGTGTCATGCTGTGTGCACAATGCCATGCTGTGTGCACGCATGCATGCAGCGCTCCTTGGCCTGTGCGTCCCTTCGTCCTTTGCCTTCCCCCAACCTGTGCTCCTTGCTTCTTCCCATTTCCCCCTCCTTTAAACCTCACGTTACCATGCCCCCTTCCTCCCGCATCCCCGCTTCGCCCCACCCCACCTCCCCACCCTTGTTCCCCTTTTCTCTGCGTGTGTCACAGGGAGCACCTCGCCCCGGCCTCTGCGTCCTCTCTCTTCCTCGACTTCGCACTGGACGAGGCAAGTCATACCCACACTCCATGCCACAGCACCACGGCTCATTGCATTCCCCTCCGCCACCAAATGCACCAGCAAGGCACTGCAACCTCGTGATTCCTCCCCTCGTACCCCCGCCATACCTACAAACCTTTCCCTCACTCCCCCTACCTCTTGCCCACCGTTCCACGGCTTTCATTTCCAGGAGATGCGCCGGCGGCGTTGGGACTTCCTGAGCCTCGGTGCGCGGGGGAGAGGGGAGAGGGCACGGGCCCGTGAGGCGGGCGAGCAAGGGTGGGAGGAGTGGGCGGGGGGGGAGGAGGAGGTGAAAGTGAGCGAGCACTATAGCGAGGACGACGACGATGCCTTGCCCGCCTCCCCTCTCCTCCACACACTGTCTTCTTGTCCCACATCCTCCCCACCGTCCACCCCATCCTCCTCCCCCACCACCTCCCCCTCCTCCACCTCCTCCACCACCTACCACTACCCTCCGACATCCTCTCTCCCCTCGCCCATCTCCCCCACTCCATCCTCCTCTCCTGTCACCACATCGTCGCCTACAATCCCACACCCCCCCTCCTCCGCCCCAGCGCGCACGTGGCTGTGGATAGAGGAGATGATGGAGAGAGGGGAGGCGTATGCGATGCGGGAATTAGTCGACACGGGCGTGTTGCACTCTCTCCTCCCTCCTGCCTCCAGTGGTGCCAATAGGGCGGGCAATCAATACGAACTCGTGCAGTGATTCCTTCTCTGCTCGTTCATCTGCCGTGCACTGTTCTGGGGTATCGGTTTGTTTCACACCCTTGGGTTGAATTAGATATGTCGCCGCAAATTGATGTAGTACCAATAAGTCTACATTACAGGCCTTCGTTATGTGATTTTATGAGAATTCAGGTATGGTACCGGTAGTTACCAGGCTTTCAGTGACTCAGGATCGCATCCCACTTTCCGTTTGCACCCATCCCCTTAACTCTGAAAGAGCATTATATGGCATGATCTGCCTACTTTCATGAGGCAGCTGCCTGAACACAAAAATGGACTTATCACGAAAGACACACAAAGAAGGAACTTCTACTCGAGGTGCTGGGAGAATTCTAAGCCATTACACCTACATGGGAGGGACTCAGTTTTCTGAGCCATCCTGGCCATGTCCTCTGGTTAACCTTCCACGGCAGCACCAGGTCTTTCCTTGGGTCAGTGATTGTATAATTCCACCGCTCCGGCTCAACCCCATCCTGCCTGCGCTTCTTCATGCCCCTCCAGATCGCCTGCTTCATCTCCTCACTCATCCAGCACCACGGCTTTAACCTCTCATCAATCCCGTCATGCACTGCCCACCACCGCTGGAACGCCACGTCATTCACAAACTTGAGGTCGTGCAGCGACGCCGACAGGTTGCAGTCAAAGTCACGGAAGCACACCCACGGCTTCCGGCCGAGATAATGAATCGTGGACATCTGGGGCGGGTCGGACGCGAAGAGAGCGTTTTGGGCGGCCAGGCCCCCGTCGGGATGGACGTGCCCGTGGAGTGGCTTGTGCTTGAGGAGATTGGTGAAGTCCGGTAGGCGGTGCCACCAGGGGTATGCGTTGTTTATGAAGCCCTGGCAGGGCGAGGGCAGGAGCACATGTGGGGAAGGAAGTGGAAACAGGGGGGAAGAAGGCGAGGAGCTCTTTGTCCAACAGTCTTTGGCCTTGCGCAGCCAGGGTTGTGGTGGAGTGCAGGTGTGGACTATGCAAAGGCATTTCTGTCAAGCAATTCGGGCGAGCATCTGGTCACGAGAGCAGGCAAGCATTCGCACCTGGAATCCGCGGTTGTACGACACCAAGTAGCGGATGTTGGCGATGAGAAACGCCTGCGTGCAGAGCGAGGGCTCGATGATCATCATGCCTCCATTGAAGCGGAAGTCGTCGTTGCCGCCCGCCGAGAGCTCCGGGTAGAGGAAGAGGTGCGTGAGGGAGCGGAAGGGGAGGAAGTCCGAGTCTATGTACACGATTCGCTTGTACTCTGTCATCCCCCACAGCTGCAGATTGCTGCCGTGCCAGGGGGGGGGGCAGAGGATTTAGGAACAGAGAAATCAGGGGCAGAGAAATCAGGGGAGGAGCAATCAGGGGAGGGTGGGGAGTGGGAAACAGGAAAGCAATGCGGGAGACATCATGAGTGGGTGAGAGAACCTTGTTCTCTTCTCCTCTCATCTCCCACTCTTCAACCCAGTTTCACGCTTGGGATTCCGCCTTTCCCCATTCCTTTTCACGTCCCTATCATCCACCCCATGGCGCCACCCACCCACCCACCCACCCTCCCACATGTGCGCACACCTGAAGTTGTACTCGCTGTGTTGACCCGGCTTGGCCCACGGGCTCCTCACCCGCTCGATCTCCACAATGCGCCATCCCGCCGCCTCAAGTCCTTTCCGGCTGTCCGCGCTCAGCTCCGCGGACACCATGGCCACCAGCTCCGCCTCCGCACGCGGCGCCGCCCCCCCGCTGGCGTTGGCGCTGGTGTTTGCGTAGCCGCCGACGAGCGCGGGGGGCAGCGCGAGGCCGGTGGTGCGGAGGGCATGCGCGAGCACGATGGCGCCGCAGACGTAGTCGTCCTTGCTGTGCAGTACAGTCACGAACGCGAAGCGCGGAGGTGCGGCGGAGGGGGAATGCGCAGCGGCTGGAGGGGACGAGGGGCGAGAAGCGGGCGAGAGGATGGGAGGGGTGAGGAAAGGGCGAAAAGGAACTGGGCCCGCGGCGGCAGTGAGGGAGAGAAAGGCCTTGAACCCAAACTTACGGCCAACACAGCTGTAAATCTCATTGCAAATTGGGCGTCGAAACACAAGCAGCTGAAATACAAGCAGGTGACCTGCACTAACCTGCACAACTATCCGATACTGCGGGCAGGTATTTCGTACCTGTGTATCCACTACCACGGACCTGACTTGGTAGCGAGCAAATATCCTCTGAGAAGCAAGGGTGGCTTCTAGCAGCGCACCTGCGGCGGCGCCCCCGGTGGGTTGCGCCATGGCGCACGACCCGTGGGGTTGGATGCGCTCGCGCATGTCGGTGGCCGTCACGTTGTATACCCACACGTCGCCCTCCGGCCCGGCGCCCACGATGCCAAGCGTAGCGGCTTGCGCGGCGGGTTCCGGCCGCGCGAGGAAGTTGCAATGGAAGAGGTTGAGCGGCGGGCGACAGGGCGACACGATGACTATGGGCATCCACGGACGCTGGGACTGGGGGAGCAGCGGGGGGGGATCCGGCGGAAGGAGCGCGAGGCGGAATAGAGGCACAGTGGGTGGGGGAGACAACTTGGGATGAAACGGGCGGGTGCGGTGCCTACCTCCGTTTTTCATGCCTCGGCTTAGAACACAAATCCAGCTTGCATATTGGAGCGCACCTTACTGGCGAATCGCGCAATCGACAGCAAGAGCTGTAACCATCGTACGTCCCTCGCCATCGAGTTGCTCTCCGGGCGACACGGAACTACCGCCACCATTGCGTCTGCCACGTCATCGCTTTCCCCGTCCTCCTCCCATGGCGCTCGGGGGACAGTAGGGCAGGTGGAATTGAAGGGTTCGTAGATACCAACATCCGGGTAAAAGTCATCCCACGTCAGGTTGCCTGCTGCTGCTGGCGGCGGGGAAAGCGGCACGACTCGAAATTGCGATGTTCGCAATTGCTTGTGGTGAAATGTCACTGCACCGTCAACGGTAGTAACCGCAGCCACGCGAATAACCCGCGAATCTTCAGGGTGCTGCTGATTCGCCGGGTGCCGCTCCTGGGGGTTCGGCCACCATTGCTCCCCGTTGCGCAGCGCCGCCTCCTCTTCCCACGACGCCAGCGCGTCGAGACCACGCGAGAACGCCGCCGCGGTTGCGGCACCATCGGCGTCCCCAACATCATGCATTGATGTAGCTCTGCCAGAGCCGCTTTTTGAGCAGTGCTCCGCCTCGACTCGATAGTGAACGCGGGAGAGGCGGGCCACATGGATCGCCAGCGTAAAGAGAAGGAGCACGACGGCGCGGATCCCGCGGGGGACTGGTACTCGCCGCGATGGTGGTGCACCCAGGAACGGCATCCATCCTAGAACCCTGGACGGTGAATGCTCAGTAGTAACAACTGCCATAACACCGAAGTATATCTTCGTAGCTGGGCACTAGTACTATAGTACTGTGATCTCGTGAGCCGGGTTTGCAGTAGCGTCCGAATGGTGTAACGGGTGTGAGAGTATGCTGGGCGAGAGCCCCAGGTTTGTAGATCCAACGTCGTCTGGGGCGAGTTTGAAAACTCCGCGGGGAAGGCGCAGGTGGTGACTCCGTCGATCCACCGAAACATGCAGCGGAGCGATAGAGCCACTGAGCAGGCGGAGGTCCTCCCAGGCCACTTGCAATGCCCCCAATATCACACCGTGTTGTGAGGTGCCGCATTCGCCAAGGCGACGCGGCCAGCAGGATGTCGATTTGAGACTTTCAAGGCTGGCGTCGCGTCCATTATGTGTAGGCTACACATGATGCCCGCGAAACGGCCCACCTTCAACACGCCCTCAGACAACCGACAGGAGCAGCGGTCGACATTCTCAGCCAACGGCCCACAGCCTTACACGCCCAAGTTAAAACCCCCAAAACTTTGACCGCGAATAAGTTAGCCAGATTTCCCGTGCAAAACACTCGAGGCTACCCGTGAAATTGGAACTGTAGTTCAAATTGTAACCACACTCCTACGAACAGGCCCAATTTGCCCCTGATTGACGCGAGTACGAGACAGGAGCAAAATGAAAGATGGGGAAGGGGAGTGAAAGGGAATCATGTGTAGATGTCTACTCGACCGACACCTTACAGGTGTGTCGGTTTGTTCTGGTCATGGCCGATTTTTCTCTCAGTTCTGGCCAAGTACAAAAAGGTGATGGTTCAGACGGGGGTGCACATTCAACGCGGTTCGGCTTGAGATGTTGGGAAGGGGGTTTGGAGAAAAACAGTGATTGGCTCACGAGGGGCGACAAAAAAATGATTCCGCTAGAGCTTCGGGCATTTCGTAGGTGGCGGGAGGGGGTGAAATGGCGGGAGTGGGTGAAACCGAATGGCGGGAGGGATGAAACAGATTGGCGGGAGGGGGGGAAAACGAAATTGCGGGGGAGGGGGGAAACAAAATTGCGGGGGAGGGGGGAAACGAATTTCGACGGGGAGGGGGAAATGAAATTGCGGGGGCGTGGGGAAACGAAATTGCGGGGGAGGGGGGAAACGAATTTCGACTTGAAGGGGTTGAAAGCACACCTCGTAACCCACTCAGTCAAGGGATAACCTTTGATGCACATTCAGCTGAATGTGCACCCCGGTTTTAAACCCTGGCATATGTAGGTCAAAGTTATTTCCTATCGTCGCCCTTACAACCTGGCATTTGGAGTCAGTGACTATGGGAGTCAGTGACTTTGGGCATTTGGAGTCAGTGACTTTGGGCCCACCCTAAGGGAATGGCTCTCGATTCATTTTGGGGGTCCCTAGAGGATCCTACCCAGGCACAGCCAAGCCAAGAAACTGCAGGGTGTTTATTTCTCCATGTTGAAATTGTAGGGTGTAAAGTTATAGCAACACTGAACCGTTTTTTTTAAGGCCTTGGCAAGACAAGCCAGGGAGAGGGCTGAAGGGGGAAAATATTGCAGGGGGAATTGAAGGGAATGGAATGAACAAAGAGCTGTAGGCGTGTCAGATCTCCCCTTGGTAACTCGATTTTGAACGATTCCAGTGATTCGGCAAAACCTGACAGGTGCCTGGGTCTTCCAGCAGAGGATGGAAGTTTAACTGCTAGGGATGGGTGAAAAAATAGCACTGTCAATGGCTGGCAGGGGGGAAGTTCTGCAGATGCTGCATTTGCAGGGTGGTGGTCAAATTTCACTCTGAGAAGCAGGCCAAATTGGGTAAAACGCCTTGTCAAGGCTTCGTTTTCCTCCCTCAACTTTGACTGGGCGCAAGGTTTGTGGCTTTTACACTAGTCGTGTCTGATAATATTTGACTGTACAGCTATTGCCCACTAGAGTCCTACATTCTGGAAAACTAATACACAATGGCTCTTTCTTTCCCTTCTTTGCATTAGCTCTTATATTTTCACCACCAGACAATGCCTTAGGACCACATGGAAGATAGGTAAATCTTTACATTATGGGAAATATTTAATTTCTTTCATGTATCACAACACAGCTTACTATATAAGTACCACCACCGCATATCCACATGAAAACACAAACTTGTAAATCGTCTATTAGAGCGTATTCCTATCCTCCTATCAAGAGAACCTCATATCAACCTCCCACTGAAAATTCCCCTAAACCCAAAACCTCTTGCTAGTTTTACCAGGCAAAAAGTACAATCTTGATATGAGGTTCTCTTGATACGAGGATAGGAATACGCTCTTAGGCTTGTGCAATAGTAGGTTTTGATGTGAAAACCCGTGCAAGGACTGCAGGTACTCTATAGACGCCCATGAAGAGAGCATGTGAGCGACGCTGGTAGAGCACTCGGTCCCACTCAGCTGTTGATGCTCCTTCCCAAGTCGCTTCCTGAGTGAACAACAGGACGAGAATCTATTTACTGGCTGGCAAGCATGAAAGCGCGTTGAATATCACAGGCAAAGGCAAAGAGTTCACCTGCGAGTGACAAGGCTGCTCCTGATGCCTTTTCCACTTGCCAACCACCCAATTCTTGCCCCAGAATCGCCTCCTCCTAGGCAATCCCTCCACCTCACTGGTCTCTGCTTCCTGCTGCACTGTGTGTCCCCTCACCTTCTCCTCCATCACCTGTCCAGCAACCCCCTGCTTTTTCTGCTGCTGAGAGCTACCTACGCAGCTCTCATGTACTCCTTCAAGCTCTCCTCCTCCCCATGGTACTGCTCTGCCACACAGCTCTCGCTCTACCACATCTGACGCTCTGCTGCCTACAGGCATGCTGTCCGCCCCTTCTTGCCCCTCCTGCAGCAAGCGGTGCAGGCGAGGTGGCAGGTGCAGGTGGAAGGAGTCAGCTGCTCGCAGCAGCCCATCGCCCCTGCGTGACGTGAGAGGGCAGCATGGGGGGGAAAGGAGCAGATGGGTGAGCAGGGGGTTGGGACACGTGAGAGCAGGCAGCAACTTGGTGTGTAACTTGCTGCGGAGCTTGTGGTTGAGTGCACAGATGCGTGGGAGAGGGGGGCAGGCACGGCAGAGTTGCGCAAGATAAGAGGGGGGAAAGGTGGGGGCGGAGGGCAGTTGGAAGAACAGGAAGTGGGGTGGTGTTGGAGAGGGGGCACGTACTCGAGAAGAAAGCTGTTCTTGAGCTGCATGGCACGCTCCTTGAGAGGGGGCTGCAGCAGCAGGCGCAGCGAGGAGAGGAGGCGGCGAGGGGAGATGCGGTGGATGGGCAGAGCAGGCGGGGCCACACCCAGGCTGTGCAGCACAGCAGCCCTGGGGGGAGATTGGGGAAGCGGTGGATGTTACAAGACAACGGGGATGGATGGACGAGCGGATGGATGGATGGACAGATGATAAGTAGCCGTGTGCCTTGCGGTGGACGGAACAGGTGGGCATAAACATGAGCTAGACTTTTGAGTCCACTCAGAAACAGGACTAATTAGTGTGGCAGCACTGCGTGGCAGAGTGCGGGGGTGCATGGCAGAGTGCAGGGTGCGTGAGAGGTACCAGAAGTGCTGGTCTCCGAAGAATGGCATGGGCAGGATGGGGCAGCCCGCCCTGATAGACGCTGCCACTGTGCCCGCCCCCCCGTGGTGCACCTGCCCATGCCACACCACGCGTGCATGCGGCACGAGGGAACATGGGGACAGAGGAAACGAGAGAAGCGGAGAGCAGTATGAAGAGGTGATGCGCGCCCGATGGAAGAAGTGTTGAAAACCCTCAGGCAGGACAGCCAAAAAAGGGCAAACAGGGGTATCTCGCGAGGGGTGTGAGAGACTGGCTACAGAGAGCATCACGTGGGCCCAGTGCTTCAGCGGTGGTTCTGCAAAACGCTGTGCATGGTTTGCCTCACCGTGGCAGAGCAGTGCGGAAAGAGCCAGTCATGAGCCACGGACCCCACAAACAGCACACTCCCTTGCTGCACCACCTCACTCTCGCCCTCTCCTCCTCCCTCCCCACCCCCACCCTCCTCCTCCGCTCCCTCCTGAGTACCTCCGCCCTCCACACTCCCTCCTGTTGTCCCTCCTTCCACACTCCTCTCCGCATGCCTGCCTCGCCCACCCTTCCTCCCTTTCTTCCCTCGCCCCTCCTCACCACTCCTGCCCACACCTGCATCTCCCTTTCCCCTTTTGCGGGTGCGTCCTGCAGCCACGAGGCAGTGTGAGGAGGAGCAGCAGCGGTGCTGGCGAATGGCGGCGCTGCCAATGATGGCTCGCACGCCCAGCAGGGCCACGGCCTTGAGCACACAGCACGCCACGTAGCACGGTTTGCTCAGCTGCATGCTGCCATACGCCAGGAAGAGCGGCGCAGGGCCCTCAGCAAGGAAGGACACGAGGGCGGGCGAAGGGTGGAAGGACGGCGGTGACGGCGGGGTTGGATCGCATGCGGGTGCTGGTTTGTGTTCCCATTGCTCCTCTGCCTCTCCTGCTTCGCCTTCTGCTGCTGCTACTGCTGCTGCTGCTGCAGGCCTTGCTGCCTCCTCCTCTAATGCAGGTAGCGCTGGCGATTCAGGCGATGGTGCTGTGTCACGAGCCTCGCCTTCAGATGGCGATGGGGATGGTGTTGCTGGGGATGCGGCACTGGCTGCTCTAGCGCTCGGTGCATGATGCAGCGGGGGGTGAATGAACCCCACCACGTCCACCAGGTCGCTCCAATCACTGCCACACAAGATTACACCATCGCACACAGGCACGTGCGCCCCCCCACCCAGCCATACGCACACACACGCACGCATGCGCGCACATGCACATGAAATGCATGATCGCACGAAGTCACAGAGAGTTGAAGGAAAATGAGGGCGCAGCACAAGCACATGAGCACCCAGCAGCAGAGTAGCAGAGGGCAAGGGACATTGTACCTTGGCTTGGGCGCGAGGAGAGGGCTCCAGGAGAAGGAGAAGGGGATGGGCAGGCGCAGCAGGTGGGAGAAGGGACGGTCCGTGAGGAAGAGAGGGTCCAGGTGGAGGGTGCGCGTGCGGAACTGCAGGGTGGCGGATAGAGGGGAGGGAGTGAGGAGGAAGACAATCAGAGCAGGGCAAAAATCAGGGGAAAGACACGGAATGGGGGAGGGGGGGGGGGGACGTGGGGACGGAACGGAAGCGAGGGCACGGCAAGCAGAGAGGAAGACAAGGAGAAGGGATTTGATGCGGAGAGAAAGTGGTAGAGTAGATGGGTGCCTTAACCCCTCACCCCTTATTCCTTGCCCCTTGCTCCTCACTCCTCACCCCCCACCCGTCACCCCCCATCCCTCACACCCCCATAGCGCCCGGGTGCCGTGGTGCAGTGCTGACCTGGTTGGTGATATCCATGACGCCTGCACCCACAAAGGCCTCCACCAGCCTGTACGACCCGCGGTGCAGCTGCCCCCGCAGGATTGCCGGCGACAGGTACGCCAGCGAGCGCAGCGCCGAGGGGGCGAACGGATGTGCGTATGCTGCTGTGGGGCTGGCAGGAGGGGGAGAGATGTGCGGGACGGAAGGGGGGGAAGAGAGGATATGGAGAGGGGAGGGTGATGGAGACTGAGGAAAAGGAGATGCTGAAGCTTGGACGAGGGTGTATAGAAAGGATGCAAGGAAGGCATAGACGCACCCATATGATATGAATGACATGGCATGGCATGGCATGGCATGGCATGGCATGGCATGGCATGGCATGGCAGGAACACATGGCACATACCGCCATGGCATGGTGAAGAGGATGTGCAGATGAGCACCGAGCTTCTGCGCACAGTGTATGTGACCTGGTGGACAGGACAAGGACAATGGCCGGCAAGTCAAAGTGAAATGCATCAGTACTCTGCTTGCGCAAGGGGGAGGTATGGTGCGGAGCGTGGAAGAGACAAGTGGATGCAATACTCTGCTTGCGCAAGGGGAAGCTGCAACGAGCAAGGGAGGCAGAAGAAACGTGCAATGGGGCCGCACACGAGGAGCCATATTCTATCAGCTAGAGAGTGCAGCAGTACCAGCAGCAGGCGGGTTGGCGATGATGGCATGCGGCCTGAACCTCCTGCTGCTGGCCCCTCTTGCTCCTGGCCCCCCTCCCTCCCCAGCCGACTGGCATGGCGCTTCTCCTCTTCCCCGTCCATCCCCATGCCCATTCCCATGCCCAGCAGCACCGTCCCCATCCTCATGCCCCTCCTCTCCGCCAGTTGAATCACCCCCTGATTTACAGACGCGCCCTGTGCTGGGTGCCCCTGCAGGGTGCGGGAAGGCAGCAGTGCAGGCAGGCCACGTGGACTCCAGGATGGCTCGGTACTGCTGCCGCAGCAGACGCAGCTCCGAGAAGCTCCTAGGGAACACGCCGCCGTTCCTCACCATCACTGAGGGGAAACATGTACGGAATGCACGTGAATGGAGTGAGGAGGGAATACAGGAGGCATGGGTTCATTGCAACAGCAAGGTATGTGACAACAGGCAGAGGTGCGTGAGTGTGCAACACAAGGAGCGGACATGGTGAGGGAGACGTGAAACGCTCTGATGCCAGATCAACGCATGCCAGCCACACACACACACACAGATGCACTTCACGTCAGGCTACTGTAACACCGTTCCAGTGACATGCATCCGGCCCAACTCCAAAGATCTTATAATCACATGGCAACTGTGCGTCACATGGCAACATAGCTGCACCGCAGGGCTGAATGCTGAATGCAGCTTGACGGGCGGCAATTGACGCAGCCTCTAGACACAGCAGTCAGCACTGCAATGACCAAGCGAGCACTCACACGTGCTGAGGGCAGTAGGGTCGCCTGCAAGCGGGTAGAAATCCATCTCGCCTCGCCCCCACGCCCTCTCCCCCACACTGCTCTCCATCCCCATCCTCTCTTCAGATCCCTCGTCCGTTATGCTGCTACCCAAAACACCCCCCTTTTCCCCTTCCTCTTCAACTCCCTCCTCGCCTCCCTCCATTTCTCCTTGGCCTCCATCTCCCCCTCGCCCCTGCTGCTCCCCTGCTTCGCTGCCATGCGCCATACGCTCCATGCACTGCAGCACAAGAGGGCCGTAGTCCGCATGGCTTGCCAGCCTGCTCGCCATGCATCCCATGCGTGCCATGCATGCCATGCGTGCATGCCATGCCAGACACATACGTAAGACACACACACGTAACACTTGCACGTGCCAGGATGAGCAGAGGAAGACGAGGGTGCACTATACCACTGCACAATGTTCACAGGCATGGCGATTGACAGGCAAGTTGCAACCAGGCAGCTGCTGCGCACACAGCAAGCGCAACCAGCACGGCTGGTGGAGAACTCCCTCTGCTGCGACGCGATTGCGACCAACCACCATTCGCCTGCACTCCGCATGTCTGTACTCAGGCACGACTACTGATTGGCCGCAAAGACAGCACCGCAAGTGGCAGGATGAAATGCAATGAGTGAAAGACACACTCGTCCTCCTCATCTATGGCCGCGCAACCATGCTGATCGCGCCACAGCGCCACTCTCCCAGCTTCTGTGTCAATAGAAAATGAAATTGGAACAAGACCCATTCTAAACCCTCGATTTTTCTCCTGATCCGTGTGGATCGGGTTGCCTCCCTCAGCTCAACCCCCAGCGCTTCACCTGACTCGGTGGCCGTATCGCACGGCGAGGTGCATGGCGAGCGCGAGGAACGGCAGCACGTCGCCGAGAGTGCCGGCGGCCATGAGCAGCACGTCCATGTCGCCCGCACCGCCGCCTTTGCCGCACTCCAACTCCAAGATCCAGCACGCCGATTATTCGCTCACTCGTATACCTCACGATCGCCCTTGTCTATCCGACGATGACCTTTTTCGACGGGTGGATCCTTCTCGCGCGTCTTGCCGAGACGAATGCTAATCGAGACAAGGGGAGTGGTTGAGCCCGCACCGACAAAGTGCGGCGTACGTGAGTCGCCACCTTCCCTTAAGCCGGGCCAAAACTCGAGCGCCGTCGCACGCGACAGCCACCAGTACAGCCAACAAGCCTCAAATCTCCATCCGTTCGCGCTCTGCTTCGCCGCTGCTCCATCCACCTCGCACGACACGGCATCCACGGCGGCGCTGCAGCACGGCAGAAGCTGCAGCGACGGCTCAGAAGGGAGACGCCAGTGCCAGTGGCGAGCCCCTGGCCTCGTGAGGAAATTGCGGTGAAACTGCCGAGCAATGCGCCAACTGGCCACCGCGAGGGACCGCGGTATCCTCGTGCAAACTGTCCGAAGCGCCATGGCCAGGTAACTTGGGTGTGGGAAGCGTAGAATGGCAATTGCAGCTGTTCACATTTTCAATTGCAGCACAGAGCCCGCATGGCTGGTGGTGCTGGTTGAGTGTGCCCGAAGTCTGGGACATTGCGTCTGTATCGAGAGCACGCATATATAAGCAGCGCGTTCGTTTACAGTCTCATTACAGTTCATTCTAAGCGGTTACTCTCGTTCCGTCACGGTGTAAATCGGTTCATCTATAGAAACGCTTCAAACCGATTGGAATCTTTTTGTGCCGCGACAGATGAACTGCACAATTATGAAAAGTGAACGAGCTGACCCCGCCCTGGGCGTGGAACATTTCGAAAAAAATCAAACGAACTGTACCGCCTGAACGGTTGAAAGCGGTGCATTTTCCAAGCGATTTGTTCAAGTAGGTTTTAATACGTTTCAGAGTGGTAATTTTCCGAACCGTACGTTCGTATGGAAAAAAAGCCGAAATGTTCCACGCCCTTATACAAGGAAGAACTAGTACATTTAGGAAAAATGAGCACAAGAGCGCAACGGCGCAACAGCGCAACGGTGCAACGGCACAACGGCGCAACGACGCAAGACCGCATCGGCGCAACGGCGCAAGAGCGCAACGGCGCAAGAGGGCAAACAGAGCAAGAGGGGAATGGCGCAAGAGCGCAACGATGCAAGAGCGCAACGGCGCAACGACGCAAGAGCGTTCTGGTAACATGTGAGCGCAACGATTTCCATCTTCCATTCCCCATCTCCCATTCCTCAACTACCATTCTTCATCTCCTATTCCCCATCTCTCATTCCCCATCTCCCATGCCCCATCTCCCATTCCCGTGAATCCATATAGGCGTTATGGATGTGCATGAATGTTATGGTAACGGGTGCGTTATCGTAACACGTGCGTTATCGTAACATGAGCGTTATGGTAACACGTGTGTTATAGTAACAAGTGCGTTATGGTAAAATGTGCGTTATGGTAACAGGTGCGTTATGGTAACATGTGCGTTATGGTCGCATGTGCGTTATTGTAACATGTGCGTTATTGTAACATGTGCGTTATGGTAACAGGTGCGCTATGGTAACAGGTGCGCTATGGTAACGCGTGCGCAATGGAAACCGGTGCGTTATGGTAACAGGTGCGTTATGGTAACGTATGCAATATAGTAACACGTGCGTTATGGTAATAAGTGCGTTAGGGTAACGCGTGCATTATGGTAACATGTGCGTTATCGTAACACGTGTGTTATGGTAACACGTGTGTTAACACGTGCGTTATGGTAACAGATGCGCTATGGTAACAGGTGTGTTATGGTAACATGTGTGTTATGGTAACATGTGCAAAATGGTAACACGTGCGTTATGGTAATACGTGCGTTATGGTAACACGTTCGTTATGGTAATAGGTGCGATATGGTAATAGGTGCGTTATCGTAAGACGTGCATTATGGTAACATGTGCGTTATGGTAACACGTGCGTTATGGTAACAGGTGTGTTATGGTAGCATGTGCGTAATGGTAATAGGTGCGTTCTGGTAACAGGTGCCTTATGGTAACATATGCGTTATGGTAACACGTGAGTTATGGTCACAAATGCGTTATGGTAATGTCAAACTTATATGCTGCTTATTATGTAGGCTATAGTGGGGTAGCCCATATGGGGGTACAACCCAATTAGGGTTTGCTACTTGTACCCATCTTCCTGCTAGTTCATTCATTCTCGTTCGTACTTCTGACATGGTTTCAGAGCAGGTCCTAGCCTAGGACCGTTTTTTTTAGGGCCCACCGAGTTGCGCTACCCAACCCGTCGCGCCGCCGTGATAGCGCCGCACTGCCCTGCACTGCCCTGCGTCGTGCTGCCTGCGCACGCCCTGCCTTGCCCTGCCCGCGCGCCGCTCGCCGCCGCGCGCCTTGCCTTGCCCGCGCGCTGCTCGACGCCGCGCGCCCTGCTCTGCCCGCGCACCCTGCTTTGCCCGCGCGCCGCCTTCCGCCGCACGCCCTGCCCTGCTCGCGCGCCGCCCGCCGCTGCGCCCCCTGCTCTGCCCACGCGCCGCCCGCCGCAGCGCGCTCTGCCTTGTCCGCGCGCCGTCCGCCGCCGCGCCGCCTAGCCTGCGCGCCCTGCTCTGCCCGCGCGCCGCCCGCCGCAGCGCGCCCTGCCCTGCCCGCGCGTCCTGCTTGCCCGCGCGCCGTCCGCCGCCGCGTCGCCTAGCACGCGCGCCCTGCTCTGCCCGCGCGCCGCCCGCCGCAGCGCGCCCTGCCCTGCCCGCGTGCTGCCCGCCGCCGCGCGCCCTTCCTTGCCCGCGCGCCGCCCGCCGCCGTGCCGCCTAGCCCGCGAACCGCTCGCCGCCAAGCCGTCGCCCTGCCCGCGCGTTGCTCACCGCCGTGCTGCCCTGCCCTGCCCTCGCGCAGCTAGCCGCCGCGCCGCCTTTCCTGAGGGCCGCTCGCCGCCGCGCCGCCCTACCCTGCTGGCTGCCGCCCTGCTTTGCCCTGCGTGCGTGCTGCTCTGCTGCTAGCGCGCCCGACTGCTCTGCCCGCTATGGCCACGCTCAGTGTCCTCACTTTCGATCTGGAGGGCCGCCCGATAGAGTTCGATGCATGGATCGACGACTTACAGCTGTACTTACTGAGCGATTCCAAGGACGGTGTTTCACTGTTTGACCTCACGTCTGCCGCCTCTCTCGCCCCTGCCGCCACAGCTGACAGTGCAACTCGCTCACAGTGGCTTACCCATGACGCTGCTGCTCGCCTAGCCGTTCGCAACCACCTGCCGTTAGCCTTATATATATATGCAATCCTGCATGTGAACTGGCCTTGTGGCCTTGAACTTGTGCTCGGAATGTGTGGTGACTTTGTGATCCACCCTGAGCTTGCTTTGCTTTACTTGACTGGTCTTGTGACCCCTTGTTCTCCCCCACTTTGCCTATGGGGGTGTGTCAGATTTATATGACATAGCTACTGTGGGCTATAGTGGGGTAGCACATATGGGGTACAGTTGTCTAGGGTTTGCTTTTGTACCCAACTTTCCCTTAGTCAATTCATTCCTCGTTGTTTCACACTTTGGAGTGAAAACAGCTAGATTTCATATATGTCATTGTATAAGCCCCGGCGCTTATAAAAATCCTCGATTATAAGCCCACCCCCCTACAAAAACATGTTTTATTATACCCCCCCGTGGGGGCTTATCCGAGGGGTGACGGTAAGATAAAAGTACAAGGATATAAATAGCAAACTAGCTAGCCATGTACTACATTCCCTTATTAACTGAATTGCATTGCTATAGTAACCACGGGTATTGCTCTTTCTGACAGTTACCAGGTTGCATCGAGTAACTACCAAGTGCAGTTACTGGGCAGTCAACGGTCACGACCGTTCACTGTCTTCGTCTGTTGACCTTCAAGTGACCCTCGATCTTCCGCATGCTCTATATGAGCTATTGCGGTACTGGTACAGCGTGTTGTTCTGTTATGGAGTAATGCGCTGACTGGAAACCTTCGGGAATATTATTATAACATGTCGGTTATTCCAACACCCCCCTTCATTCCTGAAGGTGAGCCACGTGGGACTTCTTGGTGATCCCGCAGAGGTCAGCGCAGTGCTGGAACTGTTGACATGGCCGTTTCTTTGTCAGAAAGTCGGCTGCCATGTCACCAGTTGGGCAGTATGTGAGCTTGACCTTTCCTCTGTCAATTTCGTCCTTGACGGAAATGTAGCGGAGGGTGATGTGCTTTGTGCGGTTCATGAAGCCGGGCTTGTTCGCAATCTTGATTGCGCCCTGATTGTCGCAGAGTAACGTGAATTTCCCGTTCATTGTTACTTTTGCTTCCTGCACGAGCTCCATCAGTACAGTCCTTCGCGAACAGCTGCGCTGGCGGCGATGAACTCAGCTTCGGCTGACGAAAGAGCAATGAGTTCCTGCTTCTGGGAGTTCCAAGAGATGAGTCTAGCAGGTTGGCTCTGAAAATGAATCCTGTCCGGGAGCGTCTGTTGTCAACATCTCCCGCGTGGTCTGCGTCTACGTAGCCATGCAGCTGCAGGGTAGCGGTGAGGTTGGCTTCGTAGGTGAGTCCGACGTCAGGAGTAGAGACAAAGTATTGAAGTGCTCGGCGTAGATCCAGTAGATTCTCCCCTTCAGGTATCTTCATGTACTGAGCGAGCTGGCTTGCAATGTAGGAGAGATCGGGCCGGCATGGGATGGCGGCAAACAGGAGGCACCCCAGCTGCGGCTGATAGAGCCGATGATTTTCGAGGAAGAGTGGCGTAGTGTCCGGTTCGTGGTTAGGAGGAGGAGTGCGAAAGAGACCACTAGAGCCCTGTACGACACTGTAGTCGCTCGTTACTCCTCCCCGGCCACTGCTGCTCTAGGCCGCCTTCTCCTGCCCTACCTGTTCCCAGAGCTGTCCGCCTTTGCCACAGTAGCCGACCTCGTCACTCACCTTCGCACTAGTGACACTCGCTACCGCGCTGCGCTCCCTGCCGAGTTTCTCACCAAGAACCCTCCTCCCATGTACATCATGTTAAAGCTAGGAATATGGAAGCCATGGCTAGGGAGAGAGAAGGTAGCGAGAGAATTGTTACTAGGAAAGAGTGTCGAGATACAAATGTAGGAAACCCTAATTGGACTTAGGGTGTGTTCAGTTTATGCTAGAAACTAAGAAATGAACCTAAACTGAACCGAACGTGTAACTCACCCTAAACATGGCGAAATAACAAAAGAACACCACGATAAATTCCAGAGCGAACTCTAGCCTACACCAACACATCACTCTCTACTTCATAGTCACCCCGCTCCCTGACTCTCTTAGCGCTGTCAGGGACCTCCTTCTGGCCCTTGATCCCACCGACCTCACTTTCGACCTGCTCGAGAAGCACCTCCTAGCAGCTGAGACTAGCATAGTCGCTCTAGGCGCTTCTCGTGGCACTCCTCGCACTCCCTTCTTTGAGGGGTGTTCGCCCTCCCCTCTGGTCCCCTCCGTCGCCTCTGCTGCAGCTGTTGACTACCTTCGTGC